GAAGCTGCAACGTCCTCGCGTTCGAGAAGTCCGGCTCCTCAGGGTTCATTATCGGTTCTTGAGAAAGTCACCTTTTGTCGCGAAAACGGAAGCCACCGGTCGACGCGAAACGCGCTCGATATATATATATATTCGGCCTATCGAGGATATGTATATAGTTCACTGTGTTTTCGATTCCCGTATGTGAAGAAACGACCGACGTTATTATGTACGATGTAGGAGTTTCAGGTGTCGTCGTACCGAAATCTCGCCTTCAATAACCCACGTTGTCGTCGTTCACGGCGATGTTCATTTTGTTTTTCGTCATGTCGGCCATATTTCTTGTCCGGAGAGCGTTGCCGTTGCGAGAGAAAAGCTAAACGATTTTTCACTGTTTCACGATCGCAGGCGAGTTCACGTTGGCTTAATAAGGAACGTTTTAGTGTGAAGAGGATCAAATTGATCGATGAAATATTCTTATAATTAGGCCACAGATTTCTATATAAATTCATATTTTTGTAAAATATGATTTATTCGAAGGAAGATTATAATTTTAAATTTGTTAATTAAGTCTTTAACTGTTATTATTGAGAAATATATCTACGTTCCATTCTTTCGAATTTCCTTTGTGTTTTTAAGTTAACTGTATAATAATAATGAGAGGAATATAACTTTTATACACGCATAACTGTACAACAGAAAGCTCGTAGTATACGCAAGCATTCGTACAAAATGTTTGTCTATTAGGACGATTTTCGAAACATACATACATATCTAAAAAAAAGTACTTGTAAAAAGGATTTCAATAAAGTTTGTGTTACATTCTTTCTTTTTCTTAACATTACGTATTTTTTTAGCAAAGTAGAATGTACATATTTATGTATGAAATTGAAATATAGAAAGAAACCTTTTACTGTAGTATGTATTTAAAATAGGGATACATACCATTGATGTTACATTAAGTTAGTGGTTCTTAAGGGAGGAGACTCCTTCGGGGCTAACTCCGAATCAATCGAAGTACTGATGTAAACAATCGGACACTAGCGAAAACACATATGTAACCGATAACTGGGACGGCTTGATGATACGACATCTAACGGCAGTACCTATAAATAAATTTTGTTCCCCGTTACCATCAAGTTGGGTTTGTGTATCTACTACGCGAAGGTACTGTTACCGCTGTTACCGGACCGATCGAGTTTTCTTACGCTGTTGCCTCATGTCCCCTATTACAATTCTGCCCATCAGGAGAACGATGGCATACCTACGGCCTACGGCTAGTGATGGGTAATCGAGCCGTTTGAGTCGAACCGAGCCGTAGACGGAAACCTCGAACCAGCAATTTCATACACATTTGATAGGAATGAATTGGAAATCGATAAGCCGCTTATTGATTTACTAGCTTTTTTCTCGCGGTTTCGCTCGTGTAGATTTCGAGATTTGGTCAAATTTTTTTTAAACAAAATTATAATTAAAGAAGTAAGTAAGACTTTTTCTTTTATGTATACAGATTGAACATTCTTAATTAATAATTCCAAATACTTTATTTAACTGTGGTTAAAATACAAAATTGCATTACATAATTATATAAATAAATAATTACGTATACAATTAAATGTAAGATGCTGCAATCACATTTCACAAGATATCACCAGCAGCAAAGTACCTAAATTTTGTTTCAAGAAATAAATAGAACATCCAATACTATATCAGCATAATAAAACAATGCACGAATGGCACCAAGTTCAATACTTAAAAGTAGATTTTTATTATCGAATCTTTGCAAGTTAGAATACTACAACAATACTAAGAATTTTTATGCAAATGATGAGATATAAGTAAAATAAACACTTATTTTTATTTCAACGAAAAGGCAAAACTGTGACCAATTATCCCACCTTTCCTTTAATGTCGCGATACGAATTGTATGTTATTAAATATAGTCTGATTTATGTCGTGTTTGGACTTATTGTCATCAGGACAGTCTCCTACATTTATTCATAACATTCTTAAGAAAGTACACTGAAAGGAGTAAAAGTTTAAATTTTTATTCATGGGTGATTCGTTCTGTAACCCGAGCATCGGTCGCCGAAGACTTATAGGGATTAGATACCGTCGCCGCGAACCGAGGCCCCGTGACGTCGTCTGACTTGATCGACTTGAATCCGGCTTGGTGTCCCATCACTAGAGTCTCCCATTTCCGGATCCTCCAACATTTTTGTTACACCCTGTACACACACACACACACACACACACGCACACACACACATATATATACAGGGTGTAACAAAAATGTTGCTCGACCCGGAAATGGGACACTCGGGGGGTGAATTGGAACAACTTTTTCCTTAGCAACAATGTAATCTGAGGCTTCGTTACAGAGATATTAACGAAAAACTCCGACTAATCAGCGCGCGAGTGTGCCGGCGGAGGACCCGCGATAGCGTTGGCTACGCACCGCGCTAGTACTACGAAACTCCCAACAAACAAGTCGGCAAATTTTTGTTACACTCTGTATAAGGTATCATTCGATACTATCGTCAATGAGCATAACTTATCCCCTTGTCAGGTGTACAATGCTAACGAGAATGTCCTTGTATGGCATTGTCTATGGAATACGACATTAGTCAGAGGCGAAGAAAGGTCCATCAAATCCATTAAATTGAATCAAGATTGTCTAAGTATTTTACTGTGTGGAAATGCTTCAGAGTCTCACAAACTGACACCTTTTCTTATTGGAAAACATAAGAAGCCTAAAGCTTTTAAGGGTCGCACCCACTTGCCTGTTATTTATGAAGCTGAATCATACGCCTGGATGACTGCTGAGTTATTGAAAAATTGTTTTTTTTATGACTTTGTACCAGACGTAAAAAATAATTTTTAAAAGCTTGGGCTTCCTAGGGACACCGAGGCCCTTCTGCCCGTGGACAATGGACAATTGTAGAACATATCCTCCAGCCTTTGAACTAATATCGGACAACATTTTTGCAACCAATCTTTCACCGCATGTTATACCACTTTTTTTTACTGGGGGGAACCTTGATAAAGGTGCACCGCCTCCGCTGGGGGCAGAGACGGCTAATGCGGGGTTTCACCCGCTAACCCCCCCCCCCCCGGTGACCCTCTCGGACATGAGGGCTGACCGCGGGATCGTTCGACCACTCACCGCGACCCGCTCCGCCCTTGCCCTCCCTCTAGCCTTTGAGGGAGGGCTCTTCTTTGGATCGGGACGGCTCCTGGAACGGCTGTATGCCGTCCCACCATCTACTACCTACAGCGTCGAGGGGTCACCTGTCGACGCTGTCTCCTCGTGGGCCGACCGCAAAAGGAGGTGGTACCCCCAGTAAAATACCGACTAAATATTTGAAACTAATTGCTAGTCAAAGAAGATAAAGTTTTATATAAATAATTCCTTCGAATATTTTATAAGAGGTTACAAATTTTATTAAGTGCTCAAATGAAAAGCAATGAAAATCGAATGTGCACAGTAGGTTGATATGTATCATAACTGGAAAGAGATTTTATATTTCGTTCTATCCATTCTGTTCCCAAGTCAATAATTTTTCTCAAATTTTGAACCAAAAAATGTGAACTAAGTTCTCTTTGTTAATTATTATATGTATTTGAAAATAAATATGAAGTGTACAGATGTCTATTAAGCTGTTTAATAAAACATTTTTTTATCTGCTATTATGTTGTTTTCATTCAATACTTTTAAACCCATTAAATCGTATTAAAATGTAGAGATTCATGCACTTTTGTTTTATTCAGAAGTCTCTGAATTTAATTTAAACAACATTTAAAGAAGAACTAAGAAGGTATGAAGTATAAATAACTCCCAAGTACGTTAAGTACATTAAGAGCATCGAACCTTGGTAATCACGAAAGGTCCGTAGACACAGCTTGAATATGTAAAATCGTGAAGGTCAGTAAAACAACATGCCATTCGAATACGAAATCGAACAATTCAGTATAAAAGCAATTAACATGCGTACTAGCACGTCTTTTAAATCAGATACAATAGATATACGTGTTAGATATACATATGTATGTACACTAGGGTGGCTCTTATTTACTCTCGATAAAAATTTTTTCAGTTTTTCTTGCAGCACCCCGCAGAATAGGTGCAATTAATAACAAAATAATCTGTGCAAAATTTGTGCTCGATAGGGTAATGAGAAAATATGCTCCCAGGCTCTTAAACATTAAAATAATTAATTAAATACTCATAAAATCGGTTTCTTTCGAGTCTCCTTTAAACTATTGATTGTATCAGAAAAGGTATCAGACAAAACTTGTAGATCTGGACAAGATATATCTTTTATGTTCTAAAAAAAAAAATGAAAACATCCGGAATAAAACTAAACAATTTTTTCTCAATATTGCAAGTTGTAGTGTGTTTTGCTTATTCTTTATCAATGAAGACTAAAAAAATATGTATTATTTATTTTCGACTTTAAAGGATTGTTCTTAGGAATTAAAAAACTTTTTTAAAATTTCCATTAACGATGCATTTAGAATAGATTGTCTTATAGTTAAGTGAAAAAATATATACATTCCCGTTTCATGTTTCATGACAGTCATATTTATTCCATAACCTTAAACTGAAGCATCGGATATTTTTATTCCCGTCAAATCATATAGATACACGTAATATAAACGGAATATATAACACTTCATTTGAGCTAATAATACTCAGAATTCATGATTTATCGGTAACGTCGGGTATTGACACTAAAATGGTAACAGGGCTACGTAGCCCTATGAACGTGGGACAGAAAAAAGCATTGGATGATAGGTCTATTCTATACCTAGTCGGTGGTAGTACACGCGATATGAATGGAATATATAACACTTCATTTGTGCTAATAATACTCAGGATTCATGCTTTATCGGTAACGACGGGTATTGACACTAAAATGGTAACAGGGTTACGTACAGTTACGTATTCCTATGAACGTGGGACAGAAAAAAGCATTGGATGATAGGTCTATTCTATACCTAGTCGGTGGTAATAGTACATAAACATATGAAAAGAGGTTGTGTTTTTACATTGAACTTTATAAAAACATACAAAAAGCCATGGCTAATCCAAATTTAACGGATATGACTGAAGAAGACGCGGCTGATCTGCAGTTTCCTAAGGGTACGTTTTATTCATTAAGATGCAAGTTATTTGACTGATTCTAACCTCTATTTCGTGACGTTCATCCTCTTTCTCTCGGTGAGAGATGTCATGCAACAAAAAATGTGACACGTCGATATCACAAATTTAATTGGTTATGCGGCATGGCCTTAAGTAACGATTTTCCTCTTTCAGACTGCTCATCGAGTAGAACAGAAAAAATCGAGCATGACGTTGAACTCGACGTGTCAGTCGTGAAGGATGAAATCATTACTTCAGACCCAACATGTCGCGTATGCAAATCTGCTTTGACGGAGCCTTATATTCGTTGCGCGGTGTGTAATAACACGGATCTGTGTCCCTTTTGTTTCTCCAGTGGATCGGAAATTGGTGATCATAAAAACAATCATGACTATATTATCATAAAGAACGAGTTTCCCCTGATCCACGGAAGTGGTTGGACTGCTAAGCAAGAATTAGAATTTCTTGATATTTTGCAAGAGTGTGGTTTTGGAAATTGGGAAGATATATCAAAACGAATACAAGAAAAGTCACCAGAAGAATGTAAAAATCATTATCTTCAATATTATATTGATAATCCCAGTTTACCTGGTTTGCCAAGAATCAAAGAAACTGAAGCAAGTTTATTTGGTTGTGAACCTATACCTTATTTATTCAAATTGCACGACTTGGAAGAACCACCACGTTTTGCAACTAACACTCTCAATTGTAAACTTTTGGCAGGATATAATGCAACAAGGTCAGATTTTGAAGTCAATTTTGACAATCATGCAGAATTATTAGTTTCTGATTTGAATTATGATGAATTTGATGCAAGTGATGATCATTATGAGTTGGGAAAAGCGCTGCACATAGCTATTGTGCAATCCTATAATAATAGATTGAAAGAACGTATGAGAAGAAGAAAGATCATACGAGATCATGGTTTGATTGCATTTAGAAAAACCATGTCTTGGATACAAAGATATGAATGTACAGTAACTAGAACCCTTGCAGAGAGATTGTTAATTTTCATGCAATTAATGGGTGGTATAGAATTTGACTATTTTATGGAAGGGCTACATCGCATAGGAAAACTTCAAAATTATTTGAATAAACTCTTTGAATTCCGTAATAATGGTCTAAAATATTTTCACAGTGTTGTAATGTTCCAAAAATTGAGCAAACTCAGACAAGAAAATGAGAGGGAGAGAAAGCAATATTTAAATAATCCTGAGTACAGTTGGAAATCTATATTGCCTGGTTGCAATATTAATTCGACTAGTTCAATGCCAAATGTAATCTCACAACGGAAAACAGCACCACCTCTTATAATAAAAGGTCTTCCTGGTTATGAAAAACTTACACAGGCTGAAAGAGAACTTTGTTCAGTTACACGCATAGTTCCTGCTAATTATGTTGATTTTAAGCAACTTTTAATAGGAGAAAACAAGAAGAATGGTTACCTTAGATTAGCACAAGCTAGGGTTTTGCTTAAAATTGATGTGAATAAAACACGTAAAATCTATGATTTTCTTACTGAAAAAGGATACATAAATAAATCACATCAATGACATACACTTTGTTAGTGTAGTAAAAAGAAATCAAATTTTATAAATATTTTGTACATTGTGTGTACGGCCGGAGTTGTGATATTAAACATTAAGACTTATAACAAACTATTCCTTCACAGAATACAGCAATTAAGGAAATTGACTGAAAGTAATATATACAGTGTATGTAATAGTGTACAAATAAATAAGTAATAATATTATATGCATACTTATGCTTCTAATACATTTAAATATACGTGTAATATGTTATTTATGCTTTATATAATTTTTAACAATATATTAATGAAATGTATTTTATAAAGGACCACGTGAATAAAATACATCTGGAAATTTTTATGTGGTCAGAATTAATTGAAAAGAATAACCCTGTAATGATATTATTGCCAATCATTTAAGGGAAGCTCCACGTATAAATATTTTTGTCTTTAGAATTTGAAAATGCAGAGACACTGTTAATCTCGGAAGTTTCGATGTTATTGGAGCACAGAAAAGCACAAAACGAATCCGCCGAAGAAGAACAAGAATTCTCGGAAGTTTTTATGAAGAGTTTAACGTACACGAATAGATTCCGTCGATTTAAAAACAAAGAGACCATCGCAGCAGTTCGAAAGTAAGTATGCCTCGTACATTAATATAACTTATGTAATGCATGAAATTAGTATAATGATTCGACAAAAATGTCTATGTCACAGTTTACTTATGCAGAAGAAGCTTCACAAATTTGAACTTGCATCGCTGGCGAATCTTTGTCCTGAAACGCCTGAGGAAGCGAAAGCCTTGATCCCCAGTTTGGAAGGACGTTTAGAGGACGAAGAACTTAGGACAATACTGGATGACATACAAACGAAACGCTCTCTTCAGTATTAAGAATAAAGAATTCACATTATATCTGTGTGTTCCGCTGTCATTAATTTCATCTCGTAATAAATTTGTCTTATCATAATTTTGTGCTTGATGTTTCCATTACTGTTAATCTTTTACAGTCCTGTGTTGATTTCAACTTGACATTACATTTCGTTCCAACCGGTCCTACGTCGAACTACGCCACGTCATACGAATTTGTGACTATTTACAAATACCATAGCGATCTTAAAGATATGTTCTGTAGACTTTAAGGTTGCATATACCTTTGTGGAGACTTCATTCTTTCTTTTATGTGTATTATGTAATTTACTTCTAAACAACGACAACTTTGAAACGGTATATTGCACATATTTATTCCACATATGCAAAGAAAGTATAGGTTGTACAGTGTGTTCCAACTGAAATGTGCCAGAGACTTAACGGTACACTTTAAGAAAATTTTGAGGCGTGGAACTTAAATGGCATCAAGGGGTACCTCTTATAAGGCACGAGCTTTTTTTGTAAGTGGAGGCATTTCAGGGATTTCAAGGTCACCTTGACATTTTCTAACCAAATGACCTATTTTTTGTACCGTCTCAGTCAGCCAAACCTGCAAAACCAAATTTTGTACAATGCCTGTTGTAAAGTTATGGGTACAAGTTTCATGCAAGATTTGCTATAAACACCTTGCGCGCAAATTGGCAACATATGCAGCAAATTTGCCTGCGCAGGCTCTGTTACGTTTTTGCCTCTAATTTGACATATGTTATGTTGCAAGACTTGCTGCCAATTTGCTTTACCATTTTGTCATCTGGCGTTGCCTGCAAAACCCAAGCCAAATGCGGAAACAGATGGCTATGGTTTTTTAGACAATTTTTGTCATTATTTGCTGGCAATTTGCTTGAAACTTGTACACAATTGGTTATCAGGGTAGGTTATTAATATAAATTTGTTTGCGCAGATTCCAGTAGGTATCAAAAAAAGCTAGTTATAAACAGTTGTTTTCTAAGTATTCTACATATGGGAATACAGCTTCAAATATTTATTTTATAAAACAATATACCATTAAAATTCATTATTTATAGTAGGGTCTTCAATTTTAGTATATAATTAAATACTTTATTTGAACATTCAAAAAGTGTTGCAAATGTATAATCAATAAATGGAATAAATGTTCCATACAGTATTTCCTTGATAATATTCTTACGATATACAGTAATGTCCCGAGAAGTGTGAATGCCTCCGTTCCGCGGAGTCACACTCACGGTGAGTACGGACAGTTGTCAGCATCTCGTCAATCAGTTTTTTGCTCGAAAGTCGAGCCTCGGAAGCTGGTCTTTATAGTGTTTCGACATAGAAAAGGACAAGCGAGTGAAAAACAGAAATAGAAAGCATCTCTTTCCACTCGATTCGACTACGTAGGCCGCCTGCGACGCTCTCACCAGCCAATGGTTACATTGTAATCGCTGCGGTTCGCATTATCTTACTCGGTCTCGATGTGTCTCGTTCGTTCTCTTCGTCACACAGTCCGATTGTGTGTGTACCGTTTCGGCCAATAATAAAGATACGTTTGACTAGAGGTGATCCAGGTAGTGATGGGTAACCGAGCTTTGCTGTTCGAGCTTATTCGAACGAACTGATACTTCGAGCTTGTTCGAGCTACTTGAACGAGCTCGGGTGACAGATTTATGATCGCAGGGGAGACCCGAGGCTCTGGCACTAGAAGCTCGAAGCTCGTAGCCTCGGCGTGTAGAGATGTTATCTGTCCGCCGGCAACCGACTCTCGGGCCCTCGGGTTACAATGTAACACACGGAATGAATTACCCATGAATAAAAATTTAAACTTTTACTCCTTTCAGTGTACTTTCTTAAAACTGTTATGAATAAATGTAGGAGATTCTCTTGATGAAAATAAGTCCAAACCCGACATAAATCGGACTATATTTAATAACGTGGAATTCGCATCGCGACATAACGTATAAATAAACCATAACATAATATAACATAATATGAAGAAATGCAGTGCATTAATACATTGATCATTAAGATATAAACATAATACAATTATTTTAATTGAAACATATTCCAAAGATAATATAGGAAGCAAAGAGAAGAAATTAATTATGACAAAATATAGTACAGAAACGAGTGTACAGTAAAATACATAAAATACTATAATGGTATGTAACATTAAGACATAAACTGAATGCAATCATTTTAACCAATAAATACAACATTTGACCATGCTGACTTTCTTAGCCTGTTCAGAGGGTACGGTTTTATGGTCTTGTTGTTTGACGTGTCGCGTCGGTGAGACCGGCTGGAGGCCAACATAAATAGGGAAACAGTTATAATATTCCGACTAGGTGGCTGATTAAGTGAGTGAAGAAATAGCAACGGCGAAGGAAAACGTTAACCCTCATCCGTCCCTCATTTTCCCAATTTAATATGCCCCTCGGTGTCAAATTAACCCTGTGATAAAAATTAATATAATGAAGTTCTAAATAGTTAAATGTGCAAATTCTTTCTTATTTTAAAAAATAACGTTATTTCTTAGGAGAAAACTGTGTTACATTGACACAAGGTACATATTAGGCTTAAGGCAAGTGATATTTGTAGTACAACTGTACATGGATAAGTATTAACCCTTTCGCTTCGATGTACTTATCACCTAATATGCGCGACCGTCCACTTTTTGAAGGCTTATACATATCCCAGATAGCACATGACGCCTTAAAGACGCCCATTTTATAGCCATTTCAGGACTGAACGACTGAATGTCCTGATTGGTAATCTAATTTGAAGACTACATTCCGTACTTCCATGTGTGACTTGTTTAGAGCGTGAAACAGCAGGCAGGTCTCGTCACGCGGCTTTTTAGCTTGTGGCTATTTTATTCTATTACGTTAAATATATTACACTTATTGTAAGCACATACATTTATAAGTAATTCATAACATTTTCAAAATTATATAACATCTTTAATTGTAAGAAAAATCTGCAGAACATAATATCATTGAGGTTAGAAAACTAAGAACAAAAATTTGTATGAATTTCCAAAAAATTATAGATTACAACTCATATACAGATTCCAAGTTAGTGTGTTGTGCTTTAATAATTTCATGAAACAGTTTTAACAAGTTTGAAGAACACAAGAAGCACTGACATACACTCTATATGTATACATATAATCAGCCTGTTCCGGAAATGAGGCTCGTGCCGAATTCGGCAGCCTTCAAGGTGCGCGATAGAACCAATCGAACGCCTCGACGTTATTGGCGTAATAATCGCGATTACCGTGTGCGCGTGGCCCGCAATTCGGTCAGGCGCGCAATTCTCCTTCCTGAGCAACTCAGATCGTCACTGCGTTTTCCGGTGACTTCTGGATTCTTTATAATCGTTATAATCGCTCATCGATCACCACGTGCTTACCGTTCTTTATCTAGCCAATCGTTACCACTCACGTGGAACGTAGCTTTTAAGCTATAACCAGTAAATTATTAAACCGTGAAACATCAAGTGTGTTTAATTATATTTATTATTCTAAATTAAGTACATGCAGTTATTTTACGCTTGATCATTGTGACATTAAATAAAACTACGTGCATCTCCATTAGACCGTCCGAAATTCAGTTCATTTCTACCACCCCGATCGCACATCCCCCATACGGGATAACGCCAGTTCCGCAACAAGCCTATACGGCGTTGTAAAAATGAGTGACACTATTAAACTCATATACATTAGTTATCTTGAACTTGTTAAATTCGAAATCAAAGAGAAGATTCAAAGCCTTATCAATTCGTGAACTAGAAAATTTTGCAATTTATTGTAATGCATCATGTTTTGTGAGCAGAGTGCTCAGTTATATAATTCAACCATGCGATAACGAGCCGAAGGAATCTCTCGAAAGAAAACGGCTAATCTTACTAACGACTTTCGAGCATTACCACCAGATAATTGCATATAGTTGACTGCAAGCGAAAATGAACCCTCATTATAACCATGTTCTGCTCTTGAGCAATCGTTAAATCGTTTTTGTACGTGTTTTCTTTTTTCCGTTTCTACAACGGAATTAAACACGCGATAGGAATCAATAGCGATGCTGTATAGTTTGGTATGAGGCGTTTACACAGTAATGAACGCTTACGTTTCGTCC